ATTGTAAAACTATACTAAAATTATGTAGTAGTAAGCTCATTCCTGTAGAAAATTCTTCAATATCTTGGTGATTCAAAAAATATATGTCTATTCTTTAGTGTGTACCTCTCATTTTAAATATAAAGTTCAATTTTAATATGTCTCTCTTAAGTTGAAGCATAGTAAGTTGATAGACATTAAGTATGGCCTGCTTTTTTTAATTGGTGGTTTTGAGAGAGAGAAAATCACATTTTAAAACTATTTCTTTATTGCATTTCAAATCTACACATGCACTTTTACTTAATTTTTCATTGATTATGTTAAACAAAATATTAATGTAATTGCAGGTGATGTTTTGAAATAAACGAGAGTACAACTTAAATATAGCTTTGGACATGCATAGCATAGTTCATTACTATATGGATTCGAATCCTTAAAAGAACAACATGGCAGGGGAGATAATTGCCCTTGATGTGTGGGACAAGTTGCTGATCTTGGCTGGGGTGGCGCTCTTTATGGTCTTGGTCATTTTGACGTTGATGTGTGTGCTCTCTCCCTACTGCTGTCTTTATCAATACTGTCCGTTCCGGAATACGAATCGACTAGGTATGATCTCCCCTCCCTGAATCCGTCTTTTCTTTTCATTAGAATTTCATTGCTCCTGCATCTAATCCCTTTGAATAATAAATTAACATTTAGACAGAATTTGGTTAAGTTTTGATTTACTGCGTCAAGTAAAATGCATGAAGCCTGCAGAACACCCTATCAAATAAATTACATGCATGGCACAAATAATTTAAGAGCGAAACGCAAATCAAGACAAGACCAATTCATTCATGCTGTGTTTAACTCGAAAGAGAGGAATTATAACGAAGCTAACTGGGTTTGAACTTTCCATAGTGCGGTCAAGTCGGTGGCGTTTCTGGACCCATGATTTTTCTGTTAAATCTAACTTGTTTTTACTAGAGATTTTGATTATCTCCCTTTACAAAATTGGTTTTTTTCTCATCTTTATATCTTGTGTCTGCTAAAAATTATGTCATTGTTAATAATACTTTTGAGAATTTCTAAAAAATTGTTAAACGTCACAAAAGTGGCAATACACGAAAAACTGTTTTACAGACTTTTTGCTCATTGACGGAGGATAAGATAAGGTGTAGAAGTGTTGAGAGGATTATTTCATGAAAACAAATAAGTATCATGGTTTTTTAATTTGCATACAGTAAAAAAAAATTACTCAACAATGATGTTAATTCTTCAGATGGCAAACCTTTGATTAATTACGGATCTACGGACATAATGCTGGAATCCAAACACGATAGGCGATCATATCTGGGGTCTATAAAAGAAGAAGAGTCTTCCGAATGGTCCGACGCAAGCGCAAAGAGTGCCCTGGAGCTTAGAAGGGTATTAGATTTTTTTGTTTCCCGACTTTTCACATGAAATTCTTTCCAGTTATAGTATTATACTATATAGAACAAAAAGAAATAAGCAATACACAAGTTCACGAATTTAAATGTAAATTATTTGTGATTTTAATGGATTAGTTTCATGATCTCATAATTAAAAGAATCATTTGGAACTATTAATTTTTTTTAATTTCAAATTAATTAAAATTTGTTTTCCACTATTTTTTTCCACAGAGTATGTCACCCAGTTACGTGCCAAATGGATCAATCGGTTCTCTGCACTCAGCCTCACAGATTCACGACGGCACTCTGCACTTCTCTCTCAAATACGACAAATTTGACAATGACTTACTGATTAAAATTTTGGAGGTTACAGATCTAAATGTTGAAGACAGAACCGCCATTTTGTCTCCATATATACGGGTTAGGCTATACAGATCTCATAGACAACTTTTTACCGGTGCTGTTGAAAATGTTGATACCGAGTTTAAAACTCGGATACAAAAATTCAAAGACAATTTAACTTTTAATGAGACGTTTAAGACATCCATTGCAGCCACCAGTGTAAAGCATATCAGCATTAAATTTCAACTTTGTGACTTGGACAAGTATTCTAGAAAGATAGTGATCGGAGAGTGCATTATGAAATTAAAGAAAATTCATTTTGAAGATTTCGAGGAAAAAGTCTTCCAGGAAAAGCTGAGGGCACCAATAGAGGTGTGTATTTCTGACAACTGATTTTATATCTATAAAATCATATAAATATTTACTTATTTTGAATTTTGCAAGACAAAAGAAACATTTACCAGACTTTGAATAAGCACTTTAAAGTACTGTGGGCATAGGTAATTTTAATGATCATTTTCTGAGGACGTTGACAAAAATGAAGAAACACTAATAAAAAAAAACTGGTAAGAAAATTTCTATGAAGTTTAGGTTTAGCATTGTCAACGAGCCTGTTCTGTTTAGAGCAATGTTTGTCATGAAGATAACAGTGATCTCGATGGTAAAAAAAGATTTATACGGAAGCTTAATAACATGCTGTCATTGATTGAATTAGGGAATCACCCTCTAGTTTGTTGGGTATGCCAGGGCATCAACGATAGTTAGAAGCATGGAATAATGTATGCATAACGTGGGCGAAAGGTAGACCCTGGCATACCCAGCAAACTAGAGAGTGATTCACTACATCTCCATTTCATTAAAAAAAAAAAATGTAAATTTGACAAGCACACGACGGGTGTGACTGGTGGGCAGGGGATGCTCAATCCTCTGTGGCACCTGATCCAACCTTATGTTTTGGAGGTCCATGTTTCCTTTGCTCGTATTTTGTATTGTTTAATGGAATTTTGAGCTTAAAAATTATTCATTATCTCCATACATTTCATTTCATCAACAAAAAAGTAAGACAGATTTCCCTATTATGGCTTAACTAAGTCTGCTTTGTTAGAAGAATTAACGGGAATGCAAATGATACGTGATTTATATACATGTGATTATCATGTTTGTTATGCAAAACATCGTGTTGAACTTGAGTAATGATTCAAGCTATGACTTAGGTCGATAAAAACAAACGAATACACATTTTTAACGCCACAGCTGCAGTATGAAATAAATGACATATAGATTTTTTTGCAGTTTGATGCAATAGTCAATGTTCCAAACACTATTACATCTAACCATCTACATTGTATGCTTTATATAACACAATGTTTCAGTAAAAAAACACTATATCTTTAACAGAATTTATTCAATACTAGTGTACCCTTCGTAGTTTTATTCTGAAAACAGCTCAATCCTATTAAAGCAGTCGTTTTAGATTTTTTACTACGACTTGTGTGTACGAGTCCTAATTCTAATACAAAAGGTTTGAGGACAACTTGTGTGTACGAGTCCTAATTCTAATACAAAAAGGTTTGAGGATGAATGCTTTATTTTAGAAACAGCTAATCTTATTTTCTATAACTAATTGAATAAAAGTACTTTCTTGGCTTCGGGTGATATTATATTATTTATATTAAATATATGCGCCATTATCGAATTTTTTAATGTTTTTCATCGAGCCTGAAATATTTTGTAGGAGGAATCAGGAGAGATATCCATTGGATTGAATTATCTCCCCACGGCAGAAAAACTGTACGTCAACGTAGTCAAAATGAAAATTTATAAAACACCAAATAGGCCTCAGAATGTACTGGGTACGTATTATTACGTAGAAAGAAAAAAAGGGGCTTCAATAAGTCCCGTTTCTTGGCCGTAAAGTGATAACGAGGTTGTACGTTACATGGGACCTTCTCAGTAAGAATAGCTAATTGATAAGTATTTTATAATTATATTGTCTTAATTGGTACGTTTTCTTTCACAAACCATGCTTACTTTACATTGAAGTCAATATAAAAATTCATGATTTTATTTCTGCCTAAACTTTAGTTTCAGAATTAAAATTGTATTTTTCCAAGAAGCACTTAAATAACATCTTTTAAAAGTAATAAAAGCTGAAATAGCTAATATTGATTTTTGTTAACAGACACCTATATCAAAGTTGTTCTAATGCATGACGGGAAACCACTAAAGAAAACCAAAACGGGAACTAAAACGGAGGAAGCGAACCCTGAATTTGATGAAACATTTCCGTTTGATGTGCCCACACAGGAACTCGAGAAAGTGTATCTAGCAATCAGTGCCATTTCTTTGAACACGGAAAATTCGGAACAGAAAGTGTTGGGGCGGATCTATATTGGTTTACCCTTTGGAGGCCCAGCACAGGAGCACTGGACAGAAATGATAAGGTCACCAAGAAATCCAGTCCTACATGTGCATAAACTCACTGAACAATGAAACCAGTGAAATTGTAATAACGGTTAAGTTGATAATCAGTATCTCTCATTCATTCTTTTTCATATTCCGTCCTTTGAAATATCTCCTGCAAAAGTGTGGACTTCCAATAACCTTTGCAATAGTAATTATATAAAATTTGGGACATGATGAACTTTACTCGGTGCACTGAGCACCAAAGTGAGTCTATTACACAGCACATGCAAATTTAAGATGGCTGCGCCAGGTTATTTTGTAGAAATACACGAAACATATTAAACTTTTTCATGAGGTATCCATAACGATATTTCATACGATCAGTTTATTTTTTTCTGGTAAGATGTGCTAGCATTTGATTACCCAAGTAGGAATTTGCAGAGATAGGTAATGTATAAACATGCCACAAGCTCGCATGTAATTCATACAATATTTCATTTCACAAAACTCATGAATTCAATCATTGCTTAATTTAATTTGATAGGTGTACTGGTACATGTACATTAATAATTTACCCTATATAATGACACACACATAAGTGTGTACTCTTTGAAAGATTAATGTGGAATAGGTTTTAATGATTTTATATTTCATGAATTTGGGTTTGAAGGGATGCAAAAGTGCTTGAATGTGTTCATATATTAAGTTATTGGAAGTTGAATTCCAATGTTCTGTGATTTGTATAATCACGTCGGGTTTATTTTAAGCAAAAAACAAAAACATTGTTTGATGCTTGGTACAAGAAAAGAAATAAAATTGTAATTAAAGTAAAATCACTTCATGTTTTACATTAATCTTGAATCATACATTAGCGAAAGTGTAGAATATAGCAATATGATTTCTGGCTTTTACATGCTCAAGAAAAACACGACAGATTTTGGAAGCTTGTATCTTCTAGTCTGAAAAGTTCCAATGATGTTTCCAACTTCGATTGTGTTACAGTTGTTCTACATGTAACTGCAACAAACAAACAGAAATAATAAAAAAGCTAATATCTTTTACCTTGAGATGGCGAAATTAAGTTCTAACAAGCTTTTTAATGCATTTTAAGTTCAAACCCTTTATACTTACAGAATTTGACATAATTTTTTTTTACAATTTCCGGACAAACATGCATATGCAACAAGAGAGTTTGTGAAATATAAAGGTTGTTAAATACTTCCTTTATCTGAACATTTCAAAACTTAAAATTCTGTAGGTTATGATTCATTTACTTTACAGCAATTTTATAAACAACCAGAAGTCTCCGTCGAGACTGTAGCTCTACTGGTTTGTAATTATACCAAAGGATGAGGAAAGAAGCCATTGCCATCAGACCAAAACGGAAGAAGGAGTAGCGTTTTAAAGGAATTTCACACACATTTCTATTTTTAGAAACAATAGCAACACCATTCATCGAAATCAAAAACTTATGCACTAAATTACTAGTATGTATCACAGTGTAGTTCACTTGTGAGCCAAGTTATATTGAAATCAGACCAAAACTGTAGAAGGAGTAGCGTTTTAAAGGAATTTCACAGAAAATTTTATTTTTAGTAACCATGACAACACCATTCATCAAAATTAAAAACCGATGCAATATTTTATGTATCTTAGTGTAGTCAACTTGTGTACCAAGTTATACTGAAATCTGACCAAAACTGTAGGAGGAGTAGCGTTTTAAAGGAATTTCACAGAAAATTCTATTTTTAGTAACCATGGCAACATCGTTCATCGAAATCAAAAACCGATGCACTATTTTATGTATCTTAGTGTATTCTACTTGTGTGTCAAGTTATATTGAAATCAGAACAAAAGTGTAGGAGGAGTAGCGTTTTGAAAAATTGTTTACAGACAGACGGACAGACAGACAGACAGAAGGACGGACGATTGGACACCTTACTATCGCATAAGCTCTTCTGGTCTCTGACCAGTAGAGCTAAAAATTAACCATTTTTTAAAATATGCGAATACTGCAGTGAATAAAAAAAAAAAAAGATTAATCTACTTTATAATGACATTGTTCGCTTCATTACTTGTCAATAAAAACGTTTCAGACGTCTCTGGTCGAGCCTCTTTATTATAAACTACTCATTTATTCCTCAAATACATTTAAAGATTTCTCTTGGGATACAAGATAAAAAGGATTACATATCTTAGTGTAGTGTACTTATATGCAAAATTATATTGAAGACCAAAATTGTAGGAGGAGTAGCCTTTTAAATTAATTTTACAGAAATTTCTATTTTTAGTAACAATGGCAACACCCTTCATTGTAATGAAAAAAAAACAATGCACTAAATTATGTATCTTAGTGTAGTCTATTTGTGTGCCAAGTTACATTAAAATCAGACTAAAATTGTAGGAGGAGTAGTGTTTTAAAAGAATTTCGAAGAAATTTCTATTTTTAGTTACCATGGCAACACCCTTGATCGAAATCAAAAACCGATGCATTAATCCATTATTTTATGTATCTTAGTGTAGTCTACTCGTGTGCCAAGTTATATTGAAATCAAACCAAAACTGTAGGAGGAGTAGCGTTTTAAAGGAATTTCACAGAAAATTCTATTTTTAGTAACCATGGCAACACTATTCATTGAAATCAAAAACCGATGCACTATTTTATGTATCTTAGTGTAGTCTTCTTGTGTGCCAAGTTATATTGAAATCAAATTAAAGCTGTAGGAGAAGTAGCATTTTTAAAAATTGTTTACAGACAGGCGGAAAGACAGACAGCTAGACAGACGGACGGACACCTTACTTTTGCATAAGCTCTTCTGGTCTCTGACCAGTAGTGCTAAAAATTACAGTTACGCACTAAATGCTCTTATAAAAATAAAACCGAAAGTTAGAGATAGCAAATTCCGGAACAATTGGCGGCATGTGCCAAGATGGAGACTTTGGCGAAATATGGACACAGCTGTCTATTAAGTAGACAATGTGGAACAGGAAAGACATATATGATGAGGTTTTATTTGTGTAACCACTGCATTTAATACTTGTTGATTTCTATGAACAAACAAGGTATGGATGCAAGTTTTTGTGGCATATACCATGACTGTAGAAACCGGTGGGGCATTAGGGTCCGTACCCCAATATATTTTTATTATACAGAATACAATAAAACACTTTGCCATTATATGTTTGTGCCCCCTAAAAATAATAACACCCGATAACCCTTTTTTTGTTTGTCAAGAATTTTTTTTCAAGTTATTGTAAATAATTGACTGCCCCCCCCCCCCCATAAAGTGCTTCCCACGGGCCTGTACAGTACTTGTTACATGGCACCCACCTTACCCTCAATTAGATTTGAAATGCTTGCACAATTTTCTACATGTATATAATTATACATTTCTGCAAGTTTCTACCCATCTTAATTTGCAAAGCCCCCAACCCCCCAAGTTAAGATAGCGCATGCATATGAAGATGCGGATCCAAGGTTGCTGATTTTTTTTGCATTTAAATAGAAATATTTAAGAAATTCCTGAAATTTTAGAAAGGTATCAGATCTGGGGTCTATGGGCTGCGTTTAAGTCCCACTGGCTTGTGGTTGAAAGTTAAAAAAAATCAAATGGAGATAGGGGTGTCCATTCCTGATGCACAGGTTATCATAAGTATATATCAACTATATATTAAAGGTACTTGGACACAGATTTGAAATTAATATTTTCTCTATAAAATAACTACCTATATTTTAATAGCATTTCACACAAAAATTAATTAAAAATCTTATTTCGTTTAAAAGTTATTAAAACTTAAAATTTTTTGGCGGGTTTGATTGACACATCCTTGCACTTTCACAAATCTTGACTTTATTCTTAATCCGTAGGAAAAGTGGCAATCCTGATGTGTATTAATGAAAAATATTAATACTATAATCCAGAAAATTCAGAGTAGACATGTTCTAAAGCAAAACAAACACACAATATATTGTCAGCCCGTGCAGTTGTGGTGAACAGACTTTGGCGATTTAACGCACCTGATGAATTCTAAACATCAAACAATAACATGTTTACAAAAACCTGTGTACATAACACGAGTGTGATCGATTCGCAAAACTCTGTACACAACGGAATGGCGATACTTGTGAAGTAGTTCTGCTTTCTAACATTTCAACTCTGAATAAAATTATTCTTCTTGATTTAAGTTTTAATATTTCTCATTAATGCACATCAGGATTACCACTTTTCCTAAGGATTAAGAATAAAGTTAAGATTTGTGAAAGTGCAAGGATGTGTCAATCAAACCCACCAAAAAATTTAAAGTTTTAATAACTTTTTAATGAAATAAGATTTTTAATTCATTTTTGTGTGAAATGCTATTAAAATATATAATTCGTGATATTATACAGAATTTACAGAAATATACCGAAAATATTAATTTCAAATCTATGTCCAAGTACCTTTAAAGTTCGCATGCAAATCATAAATACCTCAGGCTTTTGAAGCTATCTTCTCATTCCCTTCATCTTCTTGGACTTGTTGCGAGTAGGGTTTAATGCTCTCTTGCTCGTTGCTGTGAAGAAGGTGGCCGAGATTCCAGAGTTTGTCTTGCTGGACACAGTAGACTGACTAATAATGATAGCTGATTTAGGAGGTCCATACTTTACCCAATACATCGGTGGCTAACTTGTTTCTCATCTTTGAAGCAGGAGTTAACTCTAGGTTCCTTGGTGAGATGGCGATGTATTCGGAAAACACTCTGGCAATTGAAGCGAAAACAAGCCTCCCAGTGATCCCAAATAATGGGTCTCTCATTAAGGGTCATATATCTACCTGCGGCCGCCTTGTGCTCACCTTTGCTTGATTCAATATTGTTGCGTAGTTTTTCATGCAGTGCATAATATCTTGGATTGCACACATCGGTGATGTCTGTCAAAAACATCGCAGAATTTCCAGCAGCTGTCAGCAAGATGCCCATCAAAGAGCGTGCCAGTGAACGTTCGGTTGGTAGAGGCACCATCCAACACAACATAGTAAATCTGTCTAGTTATCCTGTGTGTATTGAATACATCAACAAACCGAGTCTGTGAATCTTCATCAGGTACCAATGTGATCAATACTGTTATACAATTTCTTTACCTACCCACCTTGAAAAATTAGGGTCAGAGTACATCTAACACAAATATGTTTAATGCTTGCCTTAATCAGGCAGAATCTTGTTTCATTTTATAATTTTTCTAGAACAGGTTTAATATAGATACCTGGCAGTTAATTTGACACTCACCTATATCCCGTAGAGCCATGGAAGACAAACTGTAGCACATGGGTAGCCGACTCTACTCTCTTATCCTTCTTGCATATAACTGAAATGTTGTTGTTAGTTTCGCTCATGTCTACCATTCCAACTAACTTCCATGCGTCCCCTGCTCTCTCTATTACTAGGTTATATTGTATGGACATCTCGTCAATGATCAGACCAACATGTTTGCCAACGTCTGGAACGGATTGTCAGCTGCACTCCATTTCCATCCAGTGTAGGTTATCAGCACTGACAACAATGGGTTGCTTCACGGATTTCTTGTAATACTGCAGCAATCTCTTTGATGGGAGGACCAGCATGTTCGTTTTTTTAGCATTTCATATGCACTTGGTGACTTTAGATACAAGCCTAATGCAACACTAATGATTTCCCGGTCCCATCTTCTTTCGCGAACATCTATGTTCTGGGAGTTTCTCAATTGGTTCTCCATTAAAACAAGAAGGTGAGCAGGAACTTCTTGTCTTGACAGCAAATCATTTAAAATAGTTTTCGTTTCTGTCTCATCGGCTTTGTCAAGAACTA